TGTTTTAGTGTATACACCACCTAGTCACTAGGTGAGATGGGCAGCTATGCGCACACGCACATACAAAAGAGAGAGAGATGATTAATAGAGAGATGATAGAGAGTGGATGGATGGATGGATGGATGGATGGATGGATGGATGGATGGATAGAGATAGATAGGTAGATAGATAAATAGATAGATAGATAGATAGATAGATAGATAGATAGATAGATAGATAAGAGAGAGAAATGATGGATAGATAGAGAGAGAGAGAGAGAGCAATGATGGATAGTTAGATGATAGATAGATAAATAGATAGATGATAGATAGATAGATAGATAGATAGATGATAGAGAAAGAGAGAAATGATGGATGGATAGATGGATAGATAGATAGATAGATAGATAGAGATAGATAGATAGATAGATAGATAATGGATGGATGGATGGATGGATGGATGGATGGATGGATGATAGATAGAGATAGATAGATAGATAGATAGATAGATAGATAGATAGATAGAGATAGATAGAAAGAGAGATAGATAGATAGAGATAGATAGATAGATAGATAGATAGATAGATAGATAGATAGAGATAGATAGAAGATGGAGAGAGATGATGGATAGATAGATGATAGATAGATAGATAGATAGATAGATAGATAGATAGACAGATAGAGATATAGATAGATAGATAGATAGATAGATAGATAGATAGATAGATAGATAGATAGGAAAGAGAGATGATGGATGATAGATGATAGATAGATAGATAGTAGATAGATAGATAGATAGATAGATAGATAGATAGATAGATAGATAGATAGATAGATAGATAGATAGATAGATAGATAGATAGATAGATAGATAGATAGATAGATAGATAGATAGATAGATAGAAGAGATAGATAGAGATAGATAGATAGATAGATAGATAGATAGATAGATATAGATAGATAGATAGATAGATAGATAGAGATAGATAGATAGATAGTAGAGATAGATAGATAGATAGATAGATAGATAGATAGATAGATAGATAGATAATGGATGGATGGATGGATGGATGGATGGATGGATGGATGGATGGATACAGACAGACAGACAGAAAGACAGACAGACTCTATTCCAGTCCCACACCTTCCCCAACCTGACACTTCTTGAGATGCTGTAATTACAACTCACCCAGTTGAAATTCTCACCCAGATGGCCAAATCCTACACATTTAAAAGGTGTCAAGTTGAGGATGAGCACCTTACTGTCTCTGATGAAATGTCTAGCAGGCCCTGGAAATATGGGGGAGGAAACAGGACGGGTTGCAAAAGAAACACTTCGGCCCAAGAAGTGGGGGGGAGGAAGAAACATAAGAAAGAGACTCTGACTTAGGTATAAGTAGATCTGGAGAATTGCTGTGGCGGTCTTTCAAGATTCTGTCTCATTATCTTTATTAAGAACAAAGATTTCTCCAGAAAACCAAGTGGTTCTTGCTTCTATCAGCATTGCATAAGCGTTAGAAAATGGGCATAGTTCTGCTTATTGTGTGTATGTGTCAGTCTTGCCCCAGCTTGGTCTCTTAAGCAAGAACGACCCTCGACTCCATTGGGTGTGGAAAGGTTTACTTTATATTAAAGGTCTAGTACAGTGTTTCTCAACCTTGGTAGCTTGAAGATGGATGGACTTCAACTCCCAGAATCCCCCAGCCAGCAGCGCTGGCTGGGGGATTCTGGGAGTTGAAGTCCATCCATCTTCAAGCTACCAAGGTTGAGAAACACTGGTCTAGTAGATTACAAATATAGCAAATCCAGAACTGAAGTTTGTCTGTCAAAACTTCCATGGTTAACTTTTTCCCGCTTTGTCCCTTCCCATTGCTGGTCCCCACCCTCACCCCCCCATTGTCCAATCATATTCAAAGAAATTGTTTTCGGAATGGTCTCTTCAACTGTAGACTGGGCGATGCAGAGCTGCATGCCATTCCCAGCTGGGTGACCTTGACATTGTGTCTGTAAAAAGTACGATGAGTCGTTAGCTTTCCCCCTCCCCTCCGACTCCCTCCCCCCAGTGGTGGGTTGCCTCCGGTTCGTACCGGTTCTATAGAACCGGTAGTGAAACCGGCGGGAGGCTCCGCCCACCGACCCCGACGTCATCAGAACGCTTCTGTGCATGCGCAGAAGAGCGTGCGAGCGAGGGAAGCAAGTGCGCACGCATGGCCCCGTTGCAAACCGATAATAAAGGTAAGTAGAATCCACCCCTGCCCCCCCCCCAGACTGGCAGCTAACAAGTGTGAAACTCAGCAAAAGATGGCAGCTCGGAGAGGATGTTCAACTCCCCTCAACACCCCCAAATTCTGGAAGGGAAGAATCCAGTGGTGAAATCTGAACTGGTTTATTTATTTATTTATTTATTTATTTATTTATTTATTTATTTATTTATTTATTTATTTATTTGTTCAATTTATATGCCGCCCTTCTCCGGAGACTCAGGGCGGCTTACAATGCGTTAAGCAATAGCCTTCATACTTTTGTATATACCTGCTTAGTAGGGCTTTCGCCCCCCCCCCCCAAGTGGTGTTCTTTTTTATACAAAGTCAGCTTATTGCCCCCACAATCCGGGTCCTCATTTTACCTACCTCAAAAGGATGGAAGGCTTACTATCGGTTCACTGGCTGTGCATGCCCAGTTAGCATTATTTACTGCCGGTTTGGGTGAACCGGCCCGAACCAGTAGCATTTCACCCTGATAGAATCCAGAGAAAACTTCAGCCCCTGATTCTCCTGCTTTCATCAATGGTCTCTGGAATTGGCCACAGGTGGTGATCTCTCCTAGCCTCTCTTTGCCTGATTTTTCATCCCTGGATTCTTTTCAGTCTGACTCCAGCTTTAATCATCAGTTGCTTTTGACAAATAGTTAAGAGATTCAGGCGGCTTTAAGGAAATGTCTAAAAATATCCTTCCTCCAACAACATCAGCCTTGATTAAAGTCCTTTTCAGAGAGGATGGATCTGGATCAAAGCCTCTGGTCATGAGGTAGCCTTTTGCCCCCATCTCCATTTCATTTCAGCTGCTGAGTATCAAAGGAGGCGAGCTGAGAGATGCATGGTGGACACTCTATTTTAAAAATATTTAAAAGCTTAAATTTGAGCTCCTGGTACCTTATTCATATAGCCACAGCAAGGAGCCCTTTGGTAAAACTTCTCCCTTTTTAATCATCTCCTTTGCTCATTTCTATGAGCCACCATAGAGATATTGTGGAGGGGTCTCAAAGAAGAGATTTTTCCCAAAACTCGCAAGTTGTAGACACCAGCAAACAAAAAAAAAAAACCCCACACATATATAAAAAGTGGATTTATAAAGTCCTGGGCCCATTGCCAGAGGCCTTGGCAAGCTGATGAGCAAAAATAAAGACTTCTGTCAAAGCTCCTTTTGCTGTTGACTCTTGTAGAATAGGGACTCAAAAGCTCTTTGGGCAGCTGAGATGCCCAAGATAGCAGAGAGGGTTCATTTATTTATTCAAAGGCCTCTTTCCATTTAAGGACCACTTTGCTTTGTTCGGTACACTGCCCACTTCCCTCTCCATGACAAATCAGTTGTCCACTAAGCTGTCTCATAAACTCCAATCCTACCACAGCAAAAAGGTTGGCATCATGTCAAGGATTTTTTGTCATACTTCCTAAGCACTGATTTTATCTAACTGGTATTTTCTGTCCAGCTTGCCTTACATGACACCAAAGACGCCCTTAGAAAGAAATTTTGTTGTTGTTAGTTGCAAAGTCGTGTCCGATCCATTGCGACCCATGGACAATGTTCCTCCAGGCCTTCCTGTCCTCTACGATCCTCTGGAGTCCATTTAAGCTCACGCCTACTGCTTCAGTGACTCCATCCAGCCACCTTGTTCTCCGTCGTCCCATTCTTCTTTTGCCCTCAATCTTTCCCAGCATTAGGCTCTTCTCCAGTGAGTCCTTCCTTCTCATTAGGTGGCCAAAGTATTTGAGTTTCATCTTCAAGATCTGGCCTTCTAAAGAGCAGTCAGGGTTGATCTCCTCTAGGACGGATCGGTTTGATCGCCTTGCAATCCAAGGGACTTGGAGGAGTCTTCTCCAGCACCAGAGTTCAAAGGCCTCAATTCTTTGGCGCTCAGCCTTCCTTATGATCCAACTTTCACAGCCATACATTGCAACTGGGAAAACCATAACCTTGACTATACACACTTTTGTTGGCAGGGTGTTGTCTCTGCTTTTTAGTATGCTGTCTAGATTTGCCATAGCTTTCCACCCCAGGAGCAAGCGTCTTTTAATTTCTTGGCTACAGTCGCCATCTGTGGTGATCTTCCATGGGTGAAGAACATCTAAAGCTTATTTCAGGATATACCAGTAATAATGATGATGTTTCCCTGATGTCACCAAACCATAATTTTCAGTAGCCCCACTCAGCATAGCCTATACTATAGTAAGAATGCTGGGAATTGTAACATCCAGATACACATGTGACTTCTAATTACACCCATTAGTAGAAGTCAACCTTGAATACCTAATAGGAAAGACTAGAGACACCTGTTCACAGAATGGCTGCCGCGTAGAGGTGACTGGTTCCTGAAATCCATTTATGACAAGACAAGCCCTGCTCCTTTCTTGTTTTCCTCTCTTCTCCGCACCTCACTCCCCGATGGCCCTGCCTCTGATGTAGAGCCCTCATCCGGGCCTTCCCCAGCCTCCAGGACTGGCCCATGTTCTTCCTCAGCCTCATTGCTGTCCAACTCCTCTGCTAGCTCCACAGGCTGCTGGCAGACCACAACACAATGTTCTTCCCCTGGAGTGGGGTGGGAATGGAGATTTTGAAGTATCCTTCACCTGCAATGCCCACCAAGCCATGCCCACAGAACCGGTAGTTTAAAAAAAATTGGATTTCACCACTGGTTCCTATGGTATCTTTCCAGAGTCGAGGATTGAACCTGAGGTCTCTTTTCATGAAAGCTGTATCTGTGGCCCTGCCATTCTAGACTCTTAACATTATCCTTTTTTTGTAGGTGCTGGGTCTTCCTCTTCCCCTGACCCACAGAGAGCAGGATGAGTGGCCTACTTGCCCGGTGATGACACCATGAAGAGCTACCATGGGGACCGCAACCAGTCACGAGAACACCCTTGCCACTGCATCCCAGAGGCCTGCGACCAGCCAATGGAATACATCCACCATAGCCAGGAATCTCGCCAGCCATACCTCCTCAGTCCCAGTGAGCCTTATTCCTTGGACCACTACTGCTCATCCCGGAGCTCTGCTGACCCTCCCCTCAGCCTAACTGAACCACTTTCTGCTGCCAGCAGTAGCAGCACCTTTCCTAGAATGCACCACACACCTCAACAGTACGACTCCTGTGACGAGTGCATGGCGGCCGCCCATCCTTCCGGCAAGATCAACCGGCTGCCCCCCACTCTCCTGGACCAGTTCGAGAAGCAGCTGCCTCTTCACCACGACGGCTTCCACACCCTGCAGTACCAGCGGGCCAGCAGCACAGAACAGCCACGCAGTGAGAGTCCCAGCCGCATCCGGCATCTCGTCCATTCCGTCCAGAAGCTCTTTGCCAAGTCACATTCCCTGGAAGCCCCATCCAAGCGGGAGTACAACGGCACCAAGATGGAAGGGCGGGGCACCGAGGGAGGGTACCACCACCACCACCCTCACCACCACCGCCAGTCGCGGCACGGCAAGCGTAGCAAAAGCAAAGACCGGAAGATGGATTCCTCGTCGTCTTCTTCCCGCCATCGGAACAAGATGATGGGCTGGTGGAGCTCTGATGATAACCTGGACAGTGATAGCAGCTACATGGTGTCCGGAAGACAACATGCTGTTGACCAGAGCACCCAGTACTGTGTGGACACCCCTGAAAGTGCCTTCCGAGACTTGACTTTGAAGGGTCTCAAAAGTGGAGGTGGAGAAGGCAAGTGTTTAGCCTGTGCAGGAATGTCCATGTCCTTGGATGGCCAGACTCTCAAGAGGAGTTCTTGGCATACGATGACGGTCAGCCAAGCACGGGAGGCTTATCCCAGCTCAGGAGGAGGCCCAGAAAAAGCCTTGATGCTTCAAGAGGCCAAGGCCAAGGATCGGTCCTATCATTATCTTCAGGTAAGGAGGTGGGTAGACCGTTCAGGGTGTCCATCTTATACCTTCGATTCTAATTTGATGGGTTATTCAGATATCGGTAGTCCTTGACTTTCAACCAGTCACTTAGCATCCTCTGAAGTTATGACAGATCCCCCAAAAGATATTTATGACTCAGTCCAAAATCCTGCCCCTCCTCCACGATCACAACTTACAACTGTAAATTGGACAGGCTCTATGATGGTCGTAAGCCAAGCGCTACCTATTCATAACTGTACTGAGCCATATTGCCATCAGTTTCCTAGGTCTACCTTTTGCAATCTGTATTTTTTTTTTATTTGATTTATATGCCGCCCTTTTCCGGAGACTCAGGGCGGCTTACAATGCGCTAAGCAATAGCCTTCATCCTTTTTGTATATTTATACAAAGTCAGCTTATTGCCCCCACAAACTGGGTCCTCAATTTACCTACCTTAGAAAGGATGGAAGGCTGAGTCAACCTTGAGCCTGGCGAGATTCGATCTTACTTTAATTGCAGGCAGCTGGTCTTAATAACAGGGTGCTTTAGACCACTGTACTACCAAGGCTCTTTTTTGATTACAACTTCCAAATTCTAGTCAGTAGGACCAGATCCATCTGGCTAATCCAGAACTATGCTGGCTGGAGAATTCTGGGAGTTGAAGTCCACAAGTCTTAAAGCTGCCAAGTTTGAAGATCTCTGGGCTAATCCCATGTTTGGGAAATTGCGTTCTGTATCTTTGTTGTGTTCAGCCTTTTCACTGTGAGATGACATAAGAGTCTTAAACTGAGCAGGAGATTGTATTATGTTTATTTCGTCCTGAGCTCCTCCTTGTTCCCATTGGAGATGCCCCGGGAGTGTGAAGCATTCACACTCTGAATGCTTCACACTCCCGGGGTATCTCCAATGGGAACAAGGAGGAGCTCAGGACGAAATAAGCATTGTAGGGTCCTTGGTGCTCTATGAGCTAGGTGGTTTTCTTTCAGACGTTTCATTACCAAACTATGTAACATGATCAGTGCAAAATAAGCATTGTAATGTCTTGATGCAACCTCGGTCCTTTCTGACTATGCCCCAGGGTGCTGCACAAACATATATAAGAGATGCAGCTGACATCACAACATGACAGCACTAATTTTGTCGTTCCGATGAATTCTTGCAGATAATTCTGTAGTCCTGTCATTCAACAGCTTAGTCCAGGGGTCAGGAAACTGTGGCTCTGGAGCCACATGTAGCTCTTTCACCCCTCTGCTGCAGCTCCCTGTGACTCAAAATATGCATCACAACCGCCTATATGTGACACCCACTGGCATGCAATTTATTAAGCTTTTCAACCCCCGGTAGGCCAACCATGGATAAATCCAAGAAAAGAAAAGTTTCAGAAGAAAACAGAATGTTTAATTCAACTACATATGCTAGTTTTGTGGCAGCTCAAGAAATAGTCAGGCATGGGACGGGTTTTGTGGCTCCCGGTGTTTTCTTTTCTGTGGGAAACGGGTCCAAATGGCTCTTTGAGTGTTTAAGGTTGCAGACCCCTGGGTTAGTCCTACAACATATTTTGCCAATAAAAACCTAACGGATGCTTTCGTACAATACGGCCATACACTGGCTAGTTTTTAACCTTGCTTGGCCTTTTTCTTTTTTTTTAATTTAGCATGCTAATGAAAACCATTCTATTTGATTAATTTATGGCTCACCATCTAACCCTAGAAACCGAATAATAAGATGAAGCATGTCCTGTGAAGCAGCCAAAAATTGCATTGTTCTGTGTTAGCTGGGAGAAAAATATATATACATATTTTACCATTTTGTCTGCTATAGTTTTGGGACTAAATTCCAGTGAGCTACTACTGTTAGCTTATTTGCTTTTGTTTGTTTGTTTGTTTGTTTTTTATTATTATAATATTTACTTTTCAAAATTTTGTTTTTTTTTTAAATATATACTATATTTGTTGTTTTTTAATGTGTGGTTTTATCCATTGTTTGTGTACCGCTCAGTCGCCTTTGGTGGGATGGGCAGCTATATGAATTTGATTACTAAATGAATAAATACCAGTGTGTGACATTTGAGATAAGACATTTCACCAGGTCAGCTGTAGCCCCAGGAGTTGCATTGGTATTCACACAACACCAATCTAGCGTATATATTTGTGCATGCAGCACAGTGGTGAAATCCAAATTTTTTTACTACCAGTTCTGCGGGTGTGGCGTAGTGGGTGTGGCGTGGCTTGGTGGGCGTGGCAGGGGAAGGATACTGCAAAATCTCCATTCCCTCCCCACTCCTTGGGGAAGGATACTGCAAAATCCCCATTCCCTCCCTACTCCTGGGGGAAGGATATTGCAAAATCTCCATTCCCACCCAACTCCAGGGGAACGATACTGCAAAATCCCCATTCCCACCCAACTCCAGGGGAAGGATATTGCAAAATCCCCATTCCCACCCCACTCTGGGGCCAGCCAGAGGTGGCATTTGCCAGTTCTCCAAACTACTCAAAATTTCCGCTACCGGTTCTCCAGAACCTGTCAGAACCTGCTGGATTTCACCCCTGATGCAGCACATTTAGCTTGGTTAGTTTTAACTTTAGTTTTGCTTTTATGGCTTAGTGGGCTGCGGTGAGCCTAACCTCTTTTAATTTATGGTTCACTGCATTGTACAAGCCTTGAAAATCGGTCCCTCTCTGAGAGAGATGGACAGATCATAATCATAAGTTTATTTATCAAGCATATATAAGATAACAGGTAAAAGTATAAACACAATTTGAATACATGAAAAGAGTAAGTAAAAAGGAATATTAGGGCAGGGACGGTAGGCATGCTGGTGCACTTATGCACGACCCTAATAATAATAATAATAATAATAATAATAATAATAATAATAATAATAAACTTTATTAATATTAAATATTAATATAAATATTAATAATATAATATAAAAATATAATATAAATATTAATAGTAATATTAAATAATAGTTAATAATAATAACAGTTTCTAGGTCCTTGGTTAGGACTCGAGCTGCTGAGTTATTAACCAAAGGCTGTGAATCTCACTAAAGATTAAATAATAATAATAATAATAATAATAATAATAATAATAATAATAACAATAACAATAACAATAATAATAATAATAATAATAGGCAGTGCTCAGGGACTAATTCCCTGATATCAGCAACTGAGGAAAAATTTTGCACAACTGCTGATTGGCCCCTCCCAGATTCCGTAGTGATTTTTAAAAACAATGCTAAAATACTGCATGGATTTCTCTGTGAAAATATCGTTTCTTCTGAGGTACGATTGGTTGTTTTTGTTGCTTTCCCGAAAGGGCCTGGAGACAGTGGTGTTGTCAGCAGGACCGGGCACTGTCACAAAGGGAGATGGAGCTCATCAAGTGCTTGATCTGATTGTGTTTCTACTGCCATGGGGGTTGTGTTCTGTTAGGTTCTGAATTTTTAATATTGTAAGCCACCAGGAACCACCTGCGGGTGAGTCGGGCAACCTTATAAATTTGTTTAGTAATCTTGTTTAATAACAATGGATATGACTATGAGGTTACTGGTTCTACCATGGGCTTTGTCTACTTAATTCATGGTAGCTGTGCTTACAGCAGTGGTGAAATTCAGATTTATTTTTTTTACTACCGGTTCTGTGGGCGTGGCTTGGTGGGCGTGGTGTGGCTTGGTGGGCGTGGCTTGGTGGGCGTGGCAGGGGAAGGATACTGCAAAATCCCCATTCCCTCCCCACTCCTGGAGGAAGGATATTGCAAAATCTACATTCCTACCCCACTCCAGGGGAAGGATGCTGCAAAATCCCTATTCCCTCCCCACTCCTGAAGGAAGGATATTTAATTTAATTTAATTAATTAAATTTATATGCCGCCCCTCTCCAAAGACTCAGGGCGGCACTCCTGGAGGAAGGATATTGCAAAATCTCCGTTCCCTCCCCACTCCTGGAGGAAGGATATTGCAAAATCTCCATTTCCACCCCGTTCCAGGGGAAGGATACTGCAAAATCCCCATTCCCTCCCCACTCCTGAGGGAAGGATACTGCAAAATCCCCATTCCCTCCCCACTCCTGGAGGAAGGATATTGCAAAATCTCCATTCCCACCCCACTCTGGGGCCAGCCCAGAGGTGGTATTTGCCGGTTCTCCGAACTACTCAAAATTTCCATTATCGGTTCTCCAGAACCTTCCAGAACCTGCTGGATTTCACCCCGGCTTTCAATATGGAGGATGCCTAGTAAGGGTGGAAGAGACTTTTAACTAAAACCTACAACATAGAATCATAGAACATAGAACTTCAGAGGCCTTCTAATCCAACCCTCTGCTCAAGGCAGGAGACCTTATGCCATCCCAGTCAAATGGTTGTCCAGTCTATGTTTGAAAACCTCCAGTGATGGAGTGCCCACAATTCAGGGAGACAAGCGGTTTCATTAATTAATTGTTCTCACGGTCAAGAGAATTTCTCCTTAATTCTAGTTTGGACCTCTCTTTAACAAACTTCTACTCATCCTTACCAAGCTTTCTTACCATGGGTCGATTCTTGGTCCATCTAATAAACTGTTGTGGCTCCGTTACCTGAGCCTGTGTCATTGGCAGGAGAGGACTCCGAGAGTGAAGGAGAGGAGTTGACAAGGCCTCCCTCTCCAGGACCCTCCTCTCTGGCAATGCCTTCGGTGTCCGCCGAAGGGCAAGAGATAGGGCCGGGGCCAAGCACGTACACGCAGCCACAGATGGACAGTGATGAGGGTAATGAGTCTTGGCTGGATCCACGCCAGCGTCGCAGAGCTAAGCGCGTGCAACAGAAGAAAAGGTGTGCCCGAGATTAGGCTGAGTCACTGGACCACACCCCACAGGATATAAAAGGGAGCGTGGTGGCCAGTCAAACCTTGTGACGAACAAAGCTGAAAGCTTCCACGCCATTCTGCATTGCCGGACTTTTGCTATAGACTTTGCTGGATTATCTCTGGACTTGATTGACTCTGTAATTATTGAGCTGTTTCTTTT